CCAGGAGCTCTCTGGATGGAACCTCTGCCCTAATCAGCTGCTCCATTGAGCAATTCCCCTGGGAATGGCCTGGGATGCAGGGAGAGCAGCTGGGGGAGGGCACAAGGGGAAAAGCAGCACCAGGAGAAGCCAAGGCACAGGTTGGCTTCTGCCACCACAGCCACCAAGGCCAGGGAGCCCCAGAGCTGCTGCTGGAGCATCCCTGCTGGAGGGAGCTGCTGCTCCAGGGGCCTGGCCACAGCCTGACAGGAATTCCTCCTCACATTCCCTCAGAAAGCCCTTATGGCCATGAAGCTTTCCCCATACAGAGCACAGAACCTCCTCAGCACCTCACCAGGAGCACAGGACACCCCAGAGCAAGGCTGTCCCTGCCAGTGACACCCTGGGACCTGTGCTAGGTCACAACAACCCCATCCACTCGAGTGTCTTATCTCAGAGAGGAGCTGAGAGCCAGAGAAAGGCACAGAACAAGCTCTGTGTGCACAGGTTCAGCCCCTGGTACTTTCCCTTTTTCCACCCAGCTGCACTTCCAGACATTGCCACCAACCTCAGAGCTGTCCCCAAAAGTTCTCACACTGCTGTGAACTCAGCCTGGGAATGCAAGGGCAGGAGAAACAGGCAAGAAAGAGAGCAAAGGTGCAGTTAAGGTTGAATTTCTACTAAATGGATGCATTTAGGGGGTCAGAGTCTTCCTAGCAAGGAAGGAGCACAGTCCAAGGAGCCAGAGAGGTCCATGCATTACAGGGTTACTGAGAGCAGTCTCAACAAAAACAAGATCAAAATGCCAAGGTGAGGATTTGTGAACATGTTTAAATATGAACTGTCCCACCAAGAAATTACCACACACAAAGATACTGCTCCAGGCAAATGTCAACAGAGCCTGAGGTTCATAACTCAGGATGCAACAAACATTTGGACATAAACAACTACAGTTTGATTTGTGAGCATGCCAAGAACACCAAGTTTATTTATCAATAATCACAGGCTGCACACTGTAATCAAAACAAAAGAGTTGGGGTTTTTTTGCAGGATAAGATGAGGTAGAAGCTGGACAGGAAGGAAGAAAGTATGGATCTTTCAAAACAAAACAGAATAAATGCTGAGTTAGTGACTGTCATCCCTATTAATCACCTGCTCACAACTGCCACATTTTGTGGTGGACAAATTCTCAAAATGCTTTTCTCCCCTTTATTTGTATATATGTAACATACCTTTATGTTTGTGTATATACCTCTATATGTGTATAGATAACACAAGTATATTTATAAAACATACATCTATATAACTAATGTAAGTGTATTTTGTGTATGTTATACACCTCTATATTTATATGCAAATCACCTCCACAGTTGTAAATATCTAAAGTTTACCTTTATATTTCTGAAATATGAAATATTTCTGAAATATGAAATATACCAGTGCACAGCCCTGTGCATTTCACTCCCAGCACTGAAATCCAGAGGCTCCTGTGAGGAGATCTCTGAGAAAGTCCCTGTGTAATTTAGCCCCAGACAATGCTGAAATCAATTTAAATATGAACGAGGACACAGAGGGGTAGAACTTGTGCAGAACCTCCAACTTGAGCATCCCTGATCCCCCAGCTGAGCTGTGCCCTGGCACCTCTGTCACAGGCTGCATGCACGGAGAGCCCAGGGGATAAAATGAACACCAGAACTCAGAGAGCATCCCCAGC